CTAGGGAAGGCTGTAGGAGGATTTTATTACAAGAAGGGAGGGTTTTTTCTTGCATCTATATAATACTGCAGGCAAGCAAGCCTCTCAACAGCTTTGCTACATTCCTTCTCTTGCACTTTTGTGTCTCAGGACTTCTCCATAAAAATTATAAAAACTGCAAAACTTTGGGACTGTAGCTTATTTTCTCTGCAGTTTGGTGGATACAGCACCACACAAGTCAGACTAATGATTCTGGTTGGGATCCTTCTATACAATTTTTTAATATGAAGCACAACATAAACAATACCCGGGCTGCTGTTGGCCATACTTGTGTCCACAATGGCTGGATGTGCTACAGCCTCAGAGAAGCTGAGGAAATCCAACAGTTGTCTGGCTCCTATTCTGCTTACACATGGCTGGGCTGTTACAGTTTGGTGGGAGGTCATTATACAAATCCAAGCATGGCCCTGCTGTCTAAGCACTAAGAGTCAAGGTTAGATATTTGGCTAGATGAATTTTAAGTCATTCTGCTAACAAAAGCTCATAAAATTCCTAGAGAAAAAAAACACAACAAAAAAACCAAACATAAATTAGCACAAACTTCAAATCTTTCTAAATTATGCCAGCAGAAAGCTAAGCCTGTGCACAGACAGAACAATGTGGAGTTACTGCCCTGGAAGGCTGGCTGGTCTTCCATGCATCTCTGTACCTCCTAGGACTCAAGTCATTACTCCCATACTGAGTTGGGCTGTCTAAATGTTGGGCTGCCCAGCCCATTCTAAGCTCTCATACACAGTGCTAAGGTTTTTTTACATGTAAAGAAAGTTTGGTTAAGGTCCACTTGTCAAAATGACCCAAAGACAGATGAGAAAACTTGTTCCCTTATTCTGTTCATTTGATCCAGTTACAATGTCACCCCTGCTGCCCATATGCATACAACATCCAGCACTGGGGTGGCTGTACCTCAATGCCAATGACAAGGAAGGCATTTTTTTTAGTTCTCACACTGAGAAATACGTAACAGATTTCCTCTAGATCCCACTTCCAGCCCTGTGAATAGTAAGAGATACCCATTTTCCCAGTAGGACATAAGGGAAAAGGAAAAGCTAAAGTTAAAACTACAGATGAAATATATCTCTTAGGCAGAGGACTTGATACATGATGGCACTTCCATCTTATCAATCAGAAAACAAATTTACTTCAGTTTTTCTTCTGGGTATTATGGCCAGGGTCATACCAGCACTCTAATCTATAATGCTTTATTATTCTGTTTCATGGAGAAATGCAAGGATAGCATCTCACTGAAGGAAAAGAAAGCTTTATTTTTAGTGTCATAAACATGGTAGCTCTGCAGTCTCAGTTTAAAACACTGAATGTAAGTAGAGATATGTGGCAAGGAAACTTTCCATGCATTCAGTGAGAGATGACAGCACACAGATAAAATACTGATCCCTTGTTATCAGCTCTAGGTACCAGACTAAGTGCAACTGTCAGAAATCCTCAGCAGAAGTTGACAGGACCGAAACAGGGTTCATTTAGGATCACTGGAAATCCTTGCTTCATTTGCATTTCAGCACCTGCTTTAAGAGTCTTGCTTTCCAACAAAAGCTTAAGCAATTAAACATAGCCACATTGTAACAGCAATCGGTTGTTTGAGACCCAGATCCTCTAAAGAACATAAACACTAACATGTTGGGATTTCCAGGAAAGGCAATCCAGCATTGTAGCCCAAATGTCCTGTTAGGTGGAGAAATACAAATTTCTCTGAAGCCAATATGTCTGTACCATCCAGATGTCTATTTTATGGCAGTTAAGATATAGTACAGAATCAACATCAAATTAGGAAAATACTTTTTAACCATATTTTTAACCATTTTTAACCATATTTTAATTCCCCACTCTTTCTGACAAAGGATAATGATGTATCTTTTTCTTTTTTTTTTCCTTTTCTTTTCCGAAGGTATGATAATAACCTCAGAGAAAATGTATATTCGATTTTATAAGTATTTGGTATATTCTTTGCTTATTGTCTCAGTGTTCAGCCATTAGCAGTGAATCACTGTACTGCTATACAAAACAGAAAACAACAACTACAATCTCTGCCTCAGGACACACAACAAGCTGAAAAGAATTATCTGAAACTACTTTAGAGATACTGACTAAAACCAGACTTTTGGTTTTGGCCAGAACAGATGCCTGCTAATTCAGGTGCACACTTAAACCATAACAGCAGATTACATCTACACACTCATCTCTCAGCCACCTGCACAATGGCCATGGCTGCACCAGCTGCTTGTCCAGCCTGAATGAAAGGGGCAGAAATGCTGCCATGTCAGCTTTAACATTTTACACTGGGAATTGTAATTATGCTAGAATTTGCTCAGGATGTGAAAAATGCACACTTCTCCAATAAGCAAACTCATCATTCCTGGAGTCAACATGCGGTACCACAGCCTTGGTTATTGACAATGCCTGAACACTAGATCTTTGACTATTTGCATGTGTAGATAAGTTCTTATGCCAGGGGTACAAAAAAGGCTGGGGAACTGAACCAGGAGCTAGTTATGAGGGCTAGAATGATCAGAAGGCGGCATCCTGACTGAAAAAGCAGAGACACTATGTTTTCTTTCTCTTAGTAAAGTTCATCCACTGTCATCTGGCAAGCTGACAGAAACTTCCTGTGCTTCAATTTCTTCCATGTAAAACCTGATTAATTAGTAATGTGTATAATTTAAACTTTCCTTCATCAGTGTTGACAAAAGTAGTAAAAAAACCCAAGGTATTTCAAAGGAATCTTCAACAGACACAGTGAGTAGGGAAGGATAACCAAGGACAGGGAAGTGCGCTGGAGTTCCAAGAATCTGCTCAGAGCTCTACCATTGCCTGTTTGGAAGCCAGAAAAACAGCACTGCATCTCTGCATCCCTCTGCTTCCCCACCCAAAGAGCGAAGATAACTTTGCCCAGCTTCACTTTATAAAGCACTTTGACCAAGGATGGAGAAAGTTACCTTCATATTGGCACCTCCATTGATCCCATGCTGATCAATTTCAGTGTGATGCTGGTACCAGTAATAGATACCCAGAGCTTCTAGGAATTATATTTTCAGAAGCACAGTATCACCACTCTCTCCTACCTCTACTGAGCACTCCTTTCTTTTTGAAATTTCCTACTGTTTTGATGTTGTTAGTGATCCCAGTCAAGGACAGAAAGCTAAAATGAACAACAAAAACACTGGCCTCCACTTAGAGACATAATCTGTTTAATAAATATGACTGTAAAAGCAATAAACAATAGCAATTATACATTACACTACATTGTATTTAACAGAGGGAAAAAGAAGATGAAAAAGTACATCAAAAAAAGTGATTTTAAAATTAGAAATAGTTCCAACACTATAAGAAAACTTTTTGATTGGCTTACTATAAAAATAAGTTGGCTAATGTTGGACTTCAGTGGGGAATATTATACAGTTGCTGCCAAAGCTTTCCCATCTTTCTTAAAGCTGTAGTTGCAAAGACAATAGCAAAGCCATACAAATGGCTGTGTTCCTACCTGTCTTCAGAGAAACTACAGAAAGATGCAGAGGACTTTATATTGTGATTATCCTTTAACTATTACAAGTCTAATGCTCTTACACTTGGTATCACTTTTTTCTTTACCAGCAAGAAGGTTGATTTGGGTTTGTGCCCAATTTGTGACAGAGAGATTCAAACCCACCACCACCAACAGCCCCTGGCCCCAGGACTCCAGGCAATGCCAACATCATTTTCTCCTCTTTTTGACTCATATTTCCTTGTGCAATGTCTATGGAACAAAACACTCTTATATCAGGAATCAGGGTGACTGCTACGTGTGTTACACTGATTATGAACCAGCCTCTACTGGCCTTCACCTAACACAGTTAAGTATGTGTACAGTGGTTACTGTCTTTCTCCTGCTGCACTTCAAATGAAAATCGTGGTGCTATGTTTACCTGAGTTGGGTTGGAAATCAACAGCTGTGACGACCACATGATAAGCTTCAGCCTGATATCCAGTGTCTTGGTAGGACTCGTTCGAGTTATGCTAAGCCTGCTTTCCTGCTTGTTTCCTTGCATAGTCTATGTGAACATGTCCTGCAGCCTCATTTCCACTTGCAGTGTAAGACACAAGCTTATGTTGTTGGTAAGGAATCAGATCTTGTAAAACAGTGGTCCTGTGCTGCTGAGGCTGAAAATGCATGGCAGTGATCCCAGGTCAAATCCTTCCCCCTCATATGCCTGGAGTGGCAGGAGTTTGCAGACCTGCAACCAAGGGGGGTTGCCAAGCATGTAATAGGAAACTGCGCATGAGCCTTTCCCTGCTCCCTGTTCCTGCTCAAAAAAAATGACCGGCCTTGGGGTGACTCCCAAAAGGAAGATACCTCCTGGGACTTCCCCAGACAAATCCAATCATTAGCACTAAATGCAGCTGAGGGTGTTACTAGGGTTTTCCTTAGCCAAAATTGAAATGATAAGGCTGGTAGAGAGTACAATGTAAGTCCATACTGGCAATAACCTCCTACAAGTGCAGTATGGACAGATCTCCCTGCCCATAAAGCACACTAGCTCTGTTCCATTCAAGGTTAGGAGGTTGAAGTGACCTTTCAGCAGTGCTATCAGTGGGATGCCTTCGTGTGAGTAGGATAAAGAAGCTGCTTAAGAAACAGCCTAACCCTTCCGTTGGGATCGCCCGCACTTGCACTCTTTGCAGCCATGGGGCATGAGCAGCAGCTGCAGCAAGAGGAATGAAAGGCAGAGGCCAAAGACATAAACCGGACTGACCAAGAATCTTTTAAGTGCATTTAAACTCCAGTGTGATTTTTTGTGTGTCCTATGAAAGTCTGCTGGGGCAGCTAGCCCTCCCGCAGCCCAAAGTGCTAAAAGAGCAGTTAAATCTAAAGCCAAGAACCCTAAATGCCCCCTCCCGCCTCCCCCAGACCTTCTCCCCACACATCCCAGCCCACCCCTCTCCCTAAAGAAGAGACCCCCATGCATATTCTTGGCCTATATCATTATGATTTTTCTACAAATTAGAGACAGATAAGAAAAAAAGAGAGTGGAGAGGTGAGGGGAAGGGCCGCAGGAGTGAATAGTGGTACCAGTTCCTCTCCCCCCACCCCCCACTAAAACTGAACACCTGTACAATGCAGTTCCACTATGGTCTCAGTATAATGTCCACATGCACAGGCTTAAAGCTAAAAACCCTTTGTCATCTGAAGAATTAAGTCCAAATGCAGTGAGATCTCCTCTTTTTTAGATATAGATACATATCCGTGTCCACAATTCAACCATTTACATAGGTAGGGATTTCTTTTGTGCTCTGGGGCTCAGCAGCTGTGGAAATACTTCCTGTGGCAAAGAAAGAGGAGAACAAGAAAGTCAGTAAATAACAAGTACATTTAGCCAAGGAAGCTGTTTGAAAATATTGCCTTGCTGGGCTTTGAGATTCAACTGTTTCAGACTGACATGTTCTTCTCAGAAATGTTTTCTTGTAATTCGAAACACTGAAGGTGATGTTCTGTTCTTTTGCTAATAAAGATGATTCACCCGTGTTGAACAGAAGAGAAAAAGGGGTGGAGGAGGGAAGGAGGGGTTGAGGTCCTCACAGGAAAAGTAAAACTCATTAGGAATTAGAAGATGTTTAATGAATAACCTTAAGCCTTGCATTTGCAAAAGAGCCTAAACCATTCACACCCAGAAAATAGGAACTGCGGGTTTTTGCTGCCAGAGTTTGGACGGAAACTTAAATGATCCAGGGATATTAATTGATTCCTCCAAGGAAGGATCCCTAAATGTTAGTCAAAGGGGTTGAAAAAAGCTTTCTTCTGAACAGGCATACAAAAGAGAAACACCCAATTACAGTCTTGCTTTGTTTTCCCAAAAGAAAGAAAACTCATTAAAAAAGAAATTGCTGATTTCCAGAAGCAGATGAGGTGGTTGTATAGGAGAGTGAAGGGTCTTTGCACTTTCTATTCTGCTCACACCTAGATCCAGACCTTTTCATTTTCTAAATAAGCTCTGATTCAGTTTCCTCATTCATCTTACTGACAGGAAAGAAAAACACTCTTAGGAAGTTTGTTGGACTGATTACTTTTGATAAAGAATTGAGTCTATGTATCCCACACATTTACCTTTTATGTTCACCAGTGCAGTTACAGGTGCAAACTAAGGAGTTAGAAAAGGCCAATTTCTAGTTCAATACAGTGTGCAGTAGCACAGCTGAGAAACACACAAAATGCTGGCTATTGTAGGAAGCCAAAAATGCTATACTTACACCAAATGCAAAGCTATCCCCAAAACTGGCTTTTGATTGCTCTTATGCTAAAGGTATCAAGGGATTAGTTTCTGACACCAGCAAGAGCAGTTTTGAAGCTACCTTGAATAGAGCTAGTGGGTGACTGATGCCACTTCAGCCTGAGTGACCTCTGAAAGTGGGTGTTTCCCTACTTCTGGAACAGTGTGAACCATGGTCATTACATTCTTTCAGCAAAAGGAAACTCAAAAACCATCTAACTCTAGAAATTTCCTGGCCTAAAATTGGGTGTTTCTCTCTTAGTGTCTTACAACAATTTTGCCTCGGAGGCTTCTAGGGGAAAAAGAAAGAAAAACAAACAAGAAACAGAATTGTTAAAGTTTAGGACCCACCGCTCCGGGTCTTGGCTTGAAACCTCTTGGTGATCCACAAGCCTTTTGGAAGTCCTCTGTCCAGACTACCTTGGTTGCATTTCCTTTCCTTGGGTTCTGGACTGTGGCCTGGGGTTGCTCTGTATGGGGAACACCACATGGGAAGGTTGGTTCCCTGACTCCATCCTGTGTTATGCTAAGCAGGGATGTCCAGCTCTGCTGATGAATAGCTGCTTAAAAGCTTTTAATAGCAACCAGATCTCTCCTTAGTGAACGGGTGAGGAGAGATCAGTATTGATGGCAGTGGGGCTTGCAGCTTAGACATCAGTTTCAACAAGAGACTTTCTTCTTTTTCACAGGCCACGATTTTAGCACATCACATTCCCTCCTTTAATTGCCCTTCCCCTTGTTCCGTCTCTGCAGTAGCTATGACTCCAAGCCTGCTTTAGCAAACACTCCCATACCTTTTAGGGATGTCCTCAGGCAGGATCTAAGCTTTGGTTAAGCTGATGAAGTTGTGCTATGAAGTTGTGGTCTCAGTTATGACTATGGTTCGTTCCTAAGTCAAAACTTTAATTAGTCTAAAACAGGTCCATGTCCTTATTTGCAAGGATCTGTATCTCTGGTCTGGGACTGCAGAATTGTCACCTCACAAGTGGACCTGAGCAATGCCCAAGCAATGCTGGCTTTAGTAGAACGTGTTCCTAGGCTGAAACCTCCCTGCTTGGTCCCAACACTTTTACTGTAGTCAGAGTAACAGAAAATATATAAACATGAGCAAATGTGCGACGGAACACAGTATGCCCTCTTCAGGTCTACTCACTTTAGTCCCTATGAAAGCCTGCTTTGCAAATTTTTGACCCCAGAGGCCTGGGGGAGAAACCAGCCTGAGAGCAAACCTAGCTGTCCAGTGCTGAGATCCCACGTTTTGCTCAGTTTCCCCAGGAAACAGCCAGAGTAGTATTGCTGCTGGCAGTAAGTCTGGCACAGCACAAAGGCCACAGCAATCAAAACATCAAGAAATATTTAGCTTTTAGATCTGACTTACCGAATCACCTCTCACCTCCATGTTCCAGGTGAGGGTGGGTGAAGCTCTCCTGGGTATTCCTCAGGTGTGGGGTTTAGCCCCGAAACTACAACAGCCCCAGCAAAATAAATTGTCTTATAGCGCAAGTTAAGAGTTGGCAGGATTTTTGAGAAGGGAAGGGGATCTACAAAGAGCAACTAGGAGAGAGAAAAAAACCTGAAGTTGTTCCCCTCCTTTTCATCACATGGCAGTGAGGGAGGGGTGGGAGTTAGCAAGGTTTCCTGTAGCAAAACTAGTGCTGCAGCGGAAGAGGATGGGAGGAGGAGTGTGCAGGAATATGGGAAGAGGGGAGGCTGAGAAAAGGGTTAGCCAATTATAGTCAGAGTCTGACCAGCTGCGGGAGGCTTCAAGTTATTTACCTATGGGCTGGACTTCCAACTTCTCACCTACTAGTTGCTCAGGGCTCATCAGCTCACTTTGAGGGACATTAGGTATGCTTTCCCTCTGACTGACTGGACTGACCATCTCTTGATCTTTTTCATTCTGCATCTGTGCATATATATTAAGGCCAGGAATCTTCCTAAAACATTAACAGAAACCATCATTGTGGGGTACTCTGGCATACTATGTAGCATCAGATTTACAAACCAAGAAACAAATCACTGCCAAAAAGAAAACCCAGCAAAACAAACCCCAAACACCTCAGTGGAAGGCAGCAATGGGGAGAAGGAAATGGCACAGGGAGAATCATACCTTTTGAACTTGTAGATCACAAACACAGCTAGTCCCACAAAAACGACAGAGAGGAGCATCAGCATAGCTGAACCACTGTGACTGGGAGTGAGGTCCACCAGGGGAGCTGCAAGAGAGAGGCAGAAGGTTAGAGCCACCCTCAGCCTGGAGTGAAAGTTGCTCCCTCCAAAACCATGTTAATCTCCCCTTATTGCACTCATAGCAGGCCTCATCTGTTCACACATCTCCAGGGCTTCTCTCCCTTTCAAATCCACCTGAGAAGAAACCAGGGTTCAGGCCATTTGTGATATTCAACCTACCCTTTGACGTGAAGTCCCATAGCTTTCTTCTTAGAGGGCTCTTCGCTGTGGTCTGTTAGAGGAATGCCTGAAACCTACTCTATCATATTGCAGACAATTACCTAAGGTCATTGCAGATGAGATCACATGGGTACCAAAACTGGCATTTTCTAGACAATCCTGGGGCTACCCACAGGCCAGCTTGTCATGTTGACTCTCTGTTTTGCTCAGAGCTACTTTGGATAGCTCCCAATGCATAGTGAATGATAAGAAACTGGCTCCTCAGTTTTCCTGAAGCAACAATGCTCACCAAATGCATTGATCTCTGCTCAGTCCTCCTCATTCTGGCCAGAAGATCACTGCCCTTCACAGATACTGGCTCAGCAGCCATGCCTTACTCTGGCAAGTTCTTCTCATACCTCTGACATTTCCAGTTTTTTTCTTTCTCCTTTTCCTACTCTTCTGAACATGTTCCACTCTCTTTCCCCTGGTGCTTTGCTCTCTTTCCCATGAGTCTTCCATGCACAGGTTTAAGAAAAGCAACACAAAAGCAACGCTAATTAAACAACAAGCCCCTTTGTGCTTCTCCTCGGTTTTGGTCTCCACATTTTCATAGCCCCTTGCAAAATAAGGCCACGTAAAACAGCCAGAAGGATTGTTTCCCAGAAATACAAAGAGTATTAAACAGAGAATTTCCATAACTCACACACACACAAAGAGAAAGACACCTAGCAACCACAAAGGGACACACGCAGATCTAGCAGTCTCAGTTGTTTGTGCAGACTCCCCTAAGGCAAACTGTAGACAGACATGCAGCTGTAGCTGTGCCATTACACAGAGCTAACCCATATAGTTGACACATCCTCACTGCCTCTGTCTGGTGTTACACATGGAACAAGGCATAGTTGGTGCCTTCTTCTGCAAACAATGGAAGTTAACTTGAACCACTGTCATACACACCCTCTGTCTCTTGCCCCTCTTCACATGCACTGAACAGCCTCATCCCAAACCAGAACCAGAAGACACAAGAAAACGTGTGCCAAGGAAACACTTACTTATGCACACACCTCACACACACATGCATACTCTCAGCTGTCACACCCAGCCTGAGAAAGCCAAAATTTGCAAAGAGAAGTGAAAAAACTTCTTCCCACATCAAGCAGGCTGCCCTCTGGAAGGTGAGGTACCAGGGTGAAATGATCTGTTATTATGAATTCCTCACACGACTTCACTCTGCCCCTCTGCGTGTGTGTTTTGTGGGTCTCTGCAGTTCTTCAGGATGACAAAGTGCCTCTCCGACTGATTCAGGCTCAGCATCACTCAATACTCTTGTTATAAGGCTGTGCTGAGAGTCTGGTAGCAAACAACTATTTAACTACTTTGTGAGGAATACGACCATATTTTACACACAGTCACGTACAACACACACACACACACACAGAGGCTCATTTGTACAGGTTCTGCTTAAATATCCACACCAAGATAGTTTAGATCCCTGTATTTTTGTTCTCTGCAGCTCCTCTGCTACAGAAAATGCTGCTGTGCATGACCAGGCACACACACAGGGGGAAACACACATGTGCATTGAGGCACAAGAACATAAATGTAGCCAAGCCTTTACATACATGTGCACTGACAAAAACACATACTGCGCTTTGTGGTTCAGTCAACTATGGCTGCCCAGAGTCCAACACAGAGTCATAGTGAAAAGGCTGGGAAAGAAGGGATACTACAGACTGGAGCAACACCTCTGGGCCATGTGCATCCTCCTGGACTGTGTTTTCTAGGGACTGTTTCTGATGCTGGCTTGTGTTCCAGGTTTCCCTGTTTTATTTTACTTATTTTTTTATAAGAGCTTGGGTTGCACAAGCACACTTCTTCTTCCTTGAGAACCAAAACAACAGTTTTCAGCAGTGAAGTAAATCTCTCTTTTGGCACTTTGTCAAATTCTAAACTATAACCAAGTTTTGATGTCATGAAATCAGGCCTTTTATTTAGACAGAGAACTGACTCATGACCTCTGCAGCTTGATAAGGAGCAATATTCCCTAAAGAGCCCACAGTGGCTGCTCTCTGGGTGGTTTAATATCTAGGTTGGCAGTCCAGGCTCATTTTGCATTCTTACTCAATCGTATTTCTCTAAGAGACAAAATCCTGTAGTGTCCCTATAGGACATTGTGAAGCCAGTTACAGCAATCACTCACATCTCAACCAGCAGCTTTGAATAGAAGTACAACAAAGCCTACCTTGCAGGAAAAATGAGTGTTTGCAGCTATTGTGTACAAAAAGTACAACTCATTCCTCATGACTGTGTGTGTAAATATAGATAAAAATGTGCATTTTCAGTGAGCACAACGATCATATATTTACACAGCATGTCTGAGCCAAGCATCCTCTGCTTCAGCCTGACCTAGCAAGAAACAGGCCAGCATGTGCCTGAAGCCCATACTGATATTTAGCATGGCAGTGTGCCCCTCTGAGAGACCCTGCCTTTTGGTTCATTGAGGGCAGCAGACAAGGTTCAGCATCTCAGAAAAGTGCTACACTACCTCCACTAACTATCTGGCTTCAGGTCTGGAGCTACCCCGTATTTAGCCAGCTCTGAGCAGGGATGGAGCAGCCAGGGACCTTGTGTGGTTCCTCATGTAGAGATGCCCAGAATTCCTCTCCAAGAAGCTGCAGGAGGCTCCTACATACATCATGAACCTTGGATCCAGATTAATTTTGTATTAAATGCAGGGCTGGAGCTGTGATGCTAAGTGTCATCTGTTTCCACTACATGATACCAGGCTGCCCAGAGAGGTTGTGGAGTCTCCCTCACTGGAGACATTCAAAACCCACCTGGACACGTTCCTGTGTGATGTGCTCTGGGTGATCCTGCCTGGCAGGGGGGTTGAACTAGATGATCTTTCGAGATCCCTTCCAACCCCTAGGATTCTGTGATTCAGTAATGTCCCTTCAGTAGCAAGAAGTAAGGATGAGCCTTTCCCAGGAATACATTATGTTATTCTTTCTAACTACACTTTTTTAGAAAAGGCCTACAGGATATTCAGGATTGATCTTGAATTTAATGAACATTGACCAAAATGGAAAACAGCAATGTACATTGGCAGAGTAAATGCCCAAACACAAATTTAACAAATTATGAGCAATAGCAGGTAACCATGTTTGAAGCTCAGATTAAGACGCTTTCAGATAAGTTTCTTTTAAGAGGTAGGCATTGAGTATTTTCAGAAAGTAATGTAGTATCACTATATTTCATCATTGAAAATTCAGGCCAAGGATTGCTTCTCTGCTAATTATTATGTAAAATGTAAATGAATTTAAATTTAAAATGTAGACTCACACAATCCTTCTGTGTCATATACCTATTACAGGGGTTTTTTTTACAATCTACAGGAGGGAAAAAAAGCAAACAAACTGACTTCTCAAGCAGTTGTGTGTTGTCTTTTTTCTTTAGAGATTACTCAGCTATGCTGCACCTCCTGCCTTTTTTGTGCTCTTGGTTCTAAAATGTCTAAAAGTAGGCATCTAAACATCTGTCCCACAGCTACTAGAAAGCAGAAACATGCAGCAACATTCCTAAGGAAGATATTAGCAAGTTTTGCTTAGGAAAAATGAAATTATGCAAACACCAAGGCTTTTTTCTGGGGTGAATTAAATGCAGTTGCATTGCACCCTTTCTTAACAGTCTCTTTTCCCTTTCCTTTAGAGCAAAGCAGCATGTGGACTGACACCAGCTTGGGCAGACCTGCTCATAGCATAAAAAGCTTTTTGTAGATCATTTTGTTGGTACAAGTGAACTGAGGCTTTTAGCTTGCAAGTTAGCAAAAGAAGCTGACACTAACTGATCAGAATTATCAGTAGCTCCTGGAGAAAAGGAAGTCTTAAGAATCCTGAACATGGGGCCTGTGCTGTGAAATGAGGATTTAGCATACAGAATATACAGCAATGCATGTAATTAAATAATGGAACTTTGGAGATGGCTCATTTTGAGCTAGGATTAGTTAAAGTTCAAACTGCCTAATCTTATGGGTGTGCATATGTAAATTGCTTCTAGTTTTTCAGACTGCTGAACAGCTGCTGAACTGTGCTTAATTGCTTTGCATGTTTGTTGATTCTAGGTTATCTCAATATCTAAGGTGAGCTGGTGACCTTTGCACTGTGGGATCCAGGTTGAACACGCCATGGTGCAGCTTAGCTGTTGAATACTTCAGAGACAGCCAAGAAGCCCACATTTCTATTGCTGCTTATACTGCATTTCCATCAACAGCAAATTCTTGCACATAAATAAACAAAAGGATTAGCTGTAAATGCAAAAGCCACTATATCTTTTTGGCATGATGAAGAAAGGGGAGGTGGAGCAGTCATTTTAATGTCTGCCTATACACTGAGTTGTTATTGTGACATAAAAATGGGAAGTGTTTAAAATACTGCTGACAGCACACTACTAGCATCAAGGAATATATTGCTTGCTGTGCTACAGAGCAACAGAGATGACACAGAAAGAGGACACTGACCTGCTGTTAAATGGGCAGCATGGACAAGGATTTGGACCCCTGGCTTCAAATCAAAATGGACCAGGTTTTGGTTCAGTTTCTGCATCAGTGTTTCTGAAATCTGGAAAAAAAAAGGAGAAAGCAAGAAATGCATTTGTTTTGTGATCATTGGTTTAGGTTGCCAATAGATGGCTAGGAAATGGAGCTGCACACAAAGCACAGATTTTGCAGAGGCAACAGACTTTATGAGCACAATTTGTTACCACCATAGAAAGAGGGAAATTGTGAAAGCTGAACACATCTGCCAGTACTATGTCCAGAGTGGTTTCTGTATGGTTAGCAAGGAGTGATAGCAACAAGATGCCCTGTCACACCTCTGTAGCAACCCAGCAGCAAAAGAGAATTGAGGCCCAAAGGAACATTATACCCACATGGCTGTGTGCAGGACCAGCTGGCAACAGCACATCAGTAACTCCATTTACTATTAAAGCAAAGAGAAGCATTTAGATTCTTAATGATCATTCATTCATAACAAATAACTTTTTGCTCATTCAGTGGCCAGCTCTTTGATCTTAAAGCATGTTCTGAATGTAATATACCTGAATAAAAATGAATAGTTGCCCAGCTTGTGCTGAAATTCCAAGTGGTAAAAACAAATTTCATTACATCCAGCTGTGAGTTTCAAGCTGGCTGCTCCCTGATCCTGAAGTACTTACCAGAATCAGCTCGAATCTGAAAGTGTTTACTGACTACAGAATGTGGCTCAAACAAAATGCATGTTCCATCTATTCTTATGAGTTACAGACAGAGAGAACACACTCTTACATTATCTTTCATGGCAGAAACATCCTACAGAGCTTTTAGATCACTAGATTTTCTTGCCAGAACTCTGACAACAATACCTCTAGTAGAAATTAATCAGGCTATTTCTCCTTTCAAAGGACACGATAGCAAAGATGAGCATTTGCTGAAATAAGACCCCATTAAATCTGTATTTACAAACTGAAGAAACCAAGCTTTGGTCCAACTTGTTGGTAAACATTCCTGGTTTTGTCAGATTGTCGCAATATGCACAGACCCACTTTCTCCATATCACTCTTAATTATATCCAAGAAGTTCCAGGCATCTTGCTATTAAAAGCAAAAAAATCCAGGTAGATTAATCAAGGAACAGAAGCTTACAGATATGGTGTTGATAGTTTGTTGTGTGTTTTGTATGTTAATTCACTAGATATCTCATTTATTTCACATTTTCTTACAGCAGTGAGCAATTTTGAACCTGAAGATAGCCAGTGTTCTGCATGTGGGTTTATTAGGGAGAGCTGGTTGGAAAACTGCAAAAAAAATTAATAATAAAAAATTCCCTACCCTACAACCCTTACTATGCAGTCACTGAGAATGTGTTTTTATAGCCATACCAAGATCAAGAGGAACCATTTTCTAGTGCTCACCACTTAATTTAATTTGTTTTAAATAAATCCTTATTCCTTCTTGAAGATTAATGAAAAAATGTCAGAAAAAAAGAACATTCCAATAATTTTTGCACCATCTTTTTCATGTTCTTCATTTTTGTCTGGTTGAGTTATTTCAGGAAATGCTACCCAGATATGATTAGATGTTCCTTGGCTATCATTCATCACAGTATGAGATTTATCTGCCTCTTTTATTTTTGTAACATTCTTAATGGTTCTTTCAATACTCTTGGCTTGTACACTTCATTTCTGGCTGCTGATCACTTGAATAGATGCCTTTGGTCCAATATCAATTTGGCAATAACTCTTACAGGCATTTTATTTCTATTTTTTAATATATCTCTTTAAAGTTTACATTTTTTTCCATGAGCGCCAGAATGAGCAGTAAATATATTTCTTCCAATAGCAAGAAAAAAAAAACCACCTGCTTACAAAGAGCCATCTGCTGATCTCAGAGCAGCAAGAATGGTGACACAAAGATATGCAGTATATGAAGAAAGCCTGGGAAGCAAATTTTATCACTCTTTAAGAATCTGAGCCCATTAATAACCAAGACTGACAACTATAAAGAGTGCTTCATCTCTAAAACTGGTGCAACAGATGCAGATTGATATGCTGTAAACCAGGTGCATTAATGGCTCATGGAAGTAACAGGAAAAATATAATCCAGGCCATTTCTAGTCCCAGGCATGACCTAACAACTCTCCTCCATAGCCCTGCAGGAATGATCTTTCTTTGTGCTCTGAAATTCTGATGCTGCTGGAGAAGCTGAGTCTATGAGAAAAAGCAACCATGAGAGGGTAAACCGAAGAAAAGAGCCAACCACGTTATATCATTCCTCTTCAACCCATTGACATTGCTGCACAAAATAGTCAGGAAAACTGCAGAGGTAAAAAACATATGTGATGCCCTCTATACAAAAAGAGGCTTAATGTGATATATAGGTGACAATGCAGCCAGCTAATGCTGCTATCTAGTATTAGAAAATTGCATCATCCAGGACTTGGGCAAGAGATAGAAAAATAGGAGAACTGCAATAAAATCAGCAGGAGAAGGGACCAGAGACTTTTTTTTTTTGGTGCCACTGAGGTCTCACTGGGTCTGCCTGAGGAATCCTGCTGTGCAGAGTGAGGGAAAAACACAGCACTGGCAAGGACATTACAGCTAAGAGGTGCTGTGGCAGCTGCCAGCAGGCAAGCTGCGTGTGTGAGAGCAAGCTCAACCAGTATTATTGCCTGGCAGGACAATTAAAAGGAATAATAGGAAGGGGAGAGGCAGTAAGAGTGAAGTAGAAAGAAAAAATGAAGAAAGACAGAGAGAAACAGTGGCAACTGAAGTTGATTATTATTGTACTGCATTGTTACCTGATCATGAATGAGGACCTCACTGTACTACCTTCTGGACAAACGCAATTCAGAATAAAATGATTTCTGCCCAAAACCATCAGTATCTCAGCAAAAGTTTGAAATAGCCATTACTGTTCTAGGACTACATACTAAGTACCAAAGCAGGCAGCAACTGTTCATGCTAAGCAGATTATACAGTGTATTTCCTTGGCTCTATTAATTATATGCTCTCCCAGTGGCTTTTTGGTTGCAGCTTTTTTGCCTGGGTCTTTGTGGAATCTGAACAAGTGAAAAAATGAGTAACAGCCTGAGACTTTCAAAAGCACCAGAAGTTCTTGTGAGATCAGACATCTGCCTTCCTCAGGCAGCTCTGGAGATTCCTGACACACACTTTTGAGGGAAGAACAGATGCATTCAAACACTTTTTACAATATTTGCTTGCTTGGTACAATATTTTCATTTCCCTTTATGTGGAAAGTCAGATTATCTTAGAAATTTATATAGTCTAGAAAGGGAGAAAAATGCATTTCTGTAGTTTTTTAAATTATCTGAAATAGAAACCATACACAGTGGTTTACAGAGGTCAGTATTTGAAGTCAATGAGCAGGTTACACACAACTAAAGGGCCAAATTCCCATTGGGATTGGATACTGCTCTCCAAAGTTTCACCTGAGATTGCTTCTGGTCCTCACATGGTCCCAAAGGGATCTCTGAAATGCAGATCACTCAGGACACTCATTTTCAGATTGGAGAAGTGGCTCTTCTGCCTTTCATTTTCTATCCAGTCTATTTGTAGCTCAGTGAATCACAGGTTATCAGACTTTAACCTAGGAGTGGTTCTGACTCATATTTTGTTTACAACATCAATAAAGAGTCTTTCAAATAAATTTCTACACAAAGGCTGATCTCAGTCACTGAGGTAATTAAAAGATTTAAATGGGAAGCATTTTGGATCTGGTGTCTCATTTTATTTCTGCATTCAAAGTGGCACCCTGGATGCATTTTTGTTCAAAAAACAGATAAGGAAATATCAAAGTACTTGGGTCTGTTTCAAAAATAGCAATGCAACTCCTGTTGAACAACTAGACCTTCATCTGGGGAACAGGTTGGCTTCAGGCCTTTCCTTGTACTCTCATTGCCAGAGATGTACCTAACTCAGCTGAAGACAAAACTTCTTGGAATAGCAACCTCCTAATTTATAGTCTTCAAGAGTCTCCCTTGTGAAAATAATTAGCTTTCAGAATTAGTTTTGGTCCTTAACTGAGCCTCATTGACTTTATCTGCTTCATTTGCAGAATTAAGCATGATGTGTAAAAATAATTCAGTAATAGAAACCATTCTTCATGTATCATTTTTCATCAAAGGACACATAATGAATAATAATAACAGACAATTTGTGAAGGAAGAAAAGATATTCCAATTTAAAAATGGAACAAAACAAAAATTAATTTGGCTTCTCTTAGCATTTTGTCAGAATTAGGACTGTGAAAGAATCGTGTGCACCAAGAAGCAGAATTATCACTCTGAAAGGGCATTTTCCTTCACTTTTTGGAATTTTGAAACCTCTGGTGTAAATTAGTTTAGACTAACTGAATGTGATTCCACTGTGCCAGTATCTTCTAGCTAAAAATCTAGATAATTGCATAGATTATCTGTAATGATCTCAACTAATGAGAGCTACACTTCAATTAATTGAGTAAATCAATAAACAACTAAGGAAAGAATTATGCACATTGATTAGTAGGAAGCAACTTGAACCAGCATTACAAAAGTGAATCAGGAGTCAGGGCAAATGCAGACAACTTTAAACTCACCCTGCATAACTGTGAGTACTTCACATGAGGTCTCTAAACCTTGCTTAGCTTAGCACTGAAAAAAGTACAATCACTGACTTGCAGGGTCCAGCAGGAATTTATTGAGATCTTTAATGGAAGATAAGTTGTTGTTAAGTATCCAGAGACATTATGAAAGCACAAGGAGAGGACATTCCTGTGGTATCTCAGGACAAAAACTGACCAGCAGGTATGAACCCAGAGAGAACATGAACGTAAAAGCCAGGGTCGCTTTAGATGAACAAAGGTGACCAGAAGGAGTCTTGAGAATCAAGGACTGCTCTGTACACTGAGCAAAAGATGAGAAGGGGAGAGGGCTGATAGTCACATGGCAGGAGTTAACTCAAAGATACTAAGACAAGATACATAGCCTCTTGTAGAGCACACAACATCTGATCAAGAGAAGCTAAGTAAAACAGCTTAGGAGGGTGCTTGAAAAAAAAACAATTAAAAATAAAGAAGTTGTTTCAGCTACAATGAAGCAGAAGTAAAACTAAAGCAGTTTTAAGGAAAGAATTCTAAGATATGCACACATACAGCCTTCCTGAATGTCATTGTCCATAGCATTAAATTCATCAGAGTTATTTAATCTTCTCAGTCAATCACTGCCAATTGATATTCAGTCATCCATGTCATTTCCCATCTCTTTGGCTGGATACAGATACTGGCCACAGCTGCAACATGTTGAGCACAGTTGGCTACCGACCAGCTGATACTGCCATTTGCCAAAGACTCCATCACACCTGCTGCATTGCTGATTGCTCATTTCAGAGACAAGATTAATGGCTTCAAATGTCATTAACTAGTTGCTCTTGCATCTATTTTGCATTCTGCTTTTATGGTTGTTTTGAATAGGCCAGGGAAAAGAATGCAAACGGAGAACTGAAGAGAAATGCATGAAAACACTGAAAACTTTACTTTATATAGAAACATTACCTCAGCATTCTCATGTATCTCATTTGATTATCAGGAGACAGATTTCCTGCGTGACAAAAAGCATCTACTACCAAACAATATGGAGAGAAGAAAATTTGTGAAATGCATGAATAAAAAGATAACCCTTCAGAATCTGCCTATAGAAAAAAAACCCATAGACTGAAGAAAACCTGAGTGATCCTGTGTATTTGTATCACTGCCCTCTACTGAATTGTAAGCAGAATGTCTTCCTAATGCACATTCATTTGGAATTGGATTAGTGCTAAAAGTAACTAAAAAATTACTTGAAATGCTACTAATTAGAGGTTTGCCCTTCACTGAAGAGAACAAATTTGGTGCTTTTGAAGCAGCAGATCTGAATTCTGTAATTGTCACCTTCCCCAAGCCCATCCGCGAGGATGGCACAGCAACTGCCTGTTAGTGCAAGTGGCCAGTGGTAATTTCAGGTGGCTGCTCTTGCAAGATTTGGGATATTTTAGTGGAGTTGCAGTGACAACACATAAATTAAACAGCAGCATTTTACAACTGCCAATTTTTTCTACAATTTTAAGCAGGTTGGTAGTCTGTCCTCAATGTGAAATGAAGCAGGGGAGACATGTGGCCCAATTAAAAAAAAAAAAAAAGGAAAAAGGAAAAAGAAAAAGAAAAAAAAGAAAAAGAAAAAAAGAAAAAAGCAAAGTTGCAGCATTCTGGTCATGAACACATGACCAGAGTGTTTTGGATTCTGCAGGACAGAAAGGTCTCCTCTTGATTTTTATGAAACTGTGAAGAATAATTTACACTTACTACAAAAACTGGAGTGGACCAAGTAATCTGAGATCCTCAAAAATTTTGCATTTCTGTATTAGATGGAATTGTCCCATGCTGCACATTGAAAAACCTTCCCCAGCCTCATACATTGCAGATTTTTTCAGCTGTCAAAAGCAGATAAACTTTTTTGAAGGCACTTCAGTCTCTCATGGGAAGTATCAGGAATGCAGAGGTCACATTTTTAAATGTAATCTGCAAACAGATATAACAATAACTGACACTATGTGCACACAAAAAAATAATTTGGGACACTTGAAAAGAAGGGTAGAACAGCTGAAGGAGAAAATTACATCTTCCATCTAACCACAGTCTCATCAAGAGCGTGAGACACAAATGCTCTTGTCATGAAAATCTGCATGGAAATACATTTTTTTTAAGTGTTGTGCAGTGCATTGGGCAACTTACACACTTCTCCAGACCCACTATTACTGTACTCAAAGGCATTCTTAAAAAGCCAAATGAGCAGGTACCAGATAAGAACAGATCAGCTTAAACTGCCACAGGGGGAAACAGCAAGAAAGCAAGCCCAGCCTGCCTCCACCCTGTGGTCATTAAGTACATATCAGATTTACTGGTCCAAAGTCCAGGAAACCACATGTATCCTTAATTGTTGCCCACAGCAGAATATTTGTTTAGCTCAGGTGATGAAATACTGCTTGGCTAAGCAAGTTGCCAAAAACCTTGCAGGTGCTATGTGATAGACATCCTCTGCAGCAATCTCAGAAGTTTCATGTGGGGAGATGTAGCTTGAAGCCCTTCTTCAGTTACTGTTTCTATCACTCTTCCCTTCTTCCCAGTCCATTAGCTACCCTCTGCTTTGCTTGTTCTAGCTAACTGAAGTCCAAAATCATTGAAACACCTGCATGCTTTACCTGGCTTCTCCGTTTCCAACCCAGGTTGGATGAACCTCTGGTTCTGGTACCAGGCATGCAAACATGGTGGGTTTGGGACTGTATCACCACACCCATGTCATGCGACTGCAGCTAAACATGCTGACTTCAGGAGGCTCTAACAGGAGGCAAAGAGAAGGAGGGGGCTATAGCACACTTCTTTCTCCTGATAAATCTGTGCCTATGGTGTGTGTGGTGGGTTTTGTGCCCTTGTGTGGTGTTTCACTCAGTTTCACCAACTTCTGATTTTGAGAATGAATTAGGTTTTCCCTCCCTTTGGTATTGAAGAAGGGGCTTTAGCAGAATATAAACATTAATTTCTGTAATTCCTCTGTATCTGATCAATTCTAACTGTAAGTTTTCCAGGGACTGAAACTATTTGTCACTGTGTCTCTGGACAGGCTAACTATGAGTCTCAGGTTGTAGAGTAGCTTCCATGTGTGATATGACAGCATGAAAAATCGAACCTATATAATTCAGTGCTTCCTTAAAAAACCCTTATTCCATTGCAGTGTTTATAGAAACTATTTCCATTTTGTTCCTGTATACTTTGAAGTTTCTCTTCCAAATGAGAAAAATTCATCCAGAATTGAAACTCATTTGGGTGTACACCTGCAAACACACAAACTCACATGCCTTTGAATAGTTTGTTGCTTGCTTATGAACCCAAAACAGATTTCTGTTCCTAACAGAAAATAACACTATACATCATAAAGTACCTAAGAAGCAACTGAAGCTGTCATCAGCAAAAACATCTGTTCCCAGTACTCATCCCAGTGACTTAAGGCACAGGCAGAAGCTGTTTAATGGGCTCTGAAATTGGTAACAAAACAGGAACAATCTCAGAATATACTTAAGAGATGATGAGGGCAGTGACACATTTTGGGGCCCTTTTCAGGCAGTTCCCACTGAAAATGTTACTATATTCTACTGGCATAATTAGGAAGGAGAAAGCAGTACCCACAGACTAGTAAGAAAAGCATTCTCATCATCCTGATGGGAGAAGGGGAGATGCTCCTTCACAAGAAACAGCTGGCTGCAAATGGCAAATAGTTTCTCTCTCTGCAAAGGTTACCATTTGGATCCTTCACAATTCCAGAGAAGTTGCTGGAGCCCCACTGAAAATGACATTTCTTCTTGTCCATAAGAAGGGCACAGTCAGGGCTTTCTTTTTGCACAGCCACAGAGACTTCATATTTACAGAATGGAAAAAAGAAAGGGACAAAGTGAGGGAGATACTGGCAAAGTACAGTAAGCTGCTGAGTGCTGAAGGGTAGCTTGGGTCAGATGTAAATTTGAAAGTTTATGGACTGGCTTCCTTGCCAGTTTTTGATGGAGGAAAGGAGAAGGGGGATGAGGGAGAAAAGGGAGGAGAGGTTTTGCAGAGCAGTAAATCTCCATATTTTTTGTTAACTACATGCATGGTGAAAATTGTAGAAGAAATTAATTTGTCAAAAAAAGCAGATGATGGCTAGGGATACTGAGCAAGGGAATGCTTAAGAATATGGGTGACCTAGTAGTTTGAAGCTCACAGATAAGGTAACAAGGCTTTAGACCACTGCTGGAGGCAATTGCAACAGCCAGTAACAGGTAAGAACAATGAATAGGCTATTAGAAAACAAGAATAAAGAAGGGGGAAATATTGTTGATACATGCACTGATGGGAAGACTTCACTCATTCACAAATTAAGGGACAAATCCAAAGGGAAGTGCTAATACCCTTGTGCCATCCAGTAATGCTGAGGATTTCACCATAGCACTGAGGTTGATACTTATGAGCTGATGACAGCCTCTACCCTAATGCTCATACAGCCCATACCAAGATGGGGTATGTCTGCCTGGGCCACGGACATGCTGTATGGAGATGCACAGGTATACTGGTGTTTCAAGCAGGGCTAATCGCCTACGTCTCTGGAATCTGAGGTAATAAGCAGAGAGACATTCCAGGATTTTTGCCCAGCACAGTGAGTCACAATCACGCTAGGCCCTCTTGGTGTACAGGACCTTTTGGGTCTTCAGGGAGATATAGTCCTCCAGTTAATAACCTCCTTCAGCTTTGCACAGAGAAAATAATCCATAGTGGTTGAACCCCACTGTCAGCATCATGAAGAGGGCAGGCAGATAATCCAACCCCATTCCTGTGCCTTAAACTAAAGAAGTTCTGATCTGCCCAGGTATACCACCTAGCTCTGCCCTTCAGTGCTTTCTGGGCTCTCGATAGCTTCATAAACTTTGCTTTATGAGGCTGCTCCCATTCATGTGGGCAGGAATCATCCCCTAATTCCTCCCTGCTTTTTTTCCTGCTTTCATGAAGTAGAACAGAACTTCTAAGGGAGAGACATGAGATCACATGAATTTATGCCAATTTATCATTACCAAGGGATCACAAATGGGAATGTGTACTACATTTTTTGTTGTACTACAACAAAAAAACCATCAAAACCCACACCAACTAAAGAATAAAAAAACAGGAGGTAGCCTATACCATGGGCATTGTTTAGACTCTGATCAATCAGATACATTTATTCCACAATTATTTGTTCTAATCTGTCTTGGAAATCCCATATATATACACACAAATGCATAAACATACACTTCTCTGAGTAATGGACACCATACCTGCTCTAGGTCTGCTGCTGTTCTTTTCTTTTCTCCTGTGGCATCTTGATAGGGTAAAATGAAGAGTTCAGCAGATGTGGGCAGACCTGGGAGCACTGCGACCAGAATACGCTTGCTTGAAATACCTGTTGCCTGATACATAGACAATTAATGGACAGATAAACAATGGGGGTGGCACTGAATTATGACAGCTTCTTTGCTAAGGCATCAAAGTACTTATACAAATGATGTAGGGTATATCTGGTAGGACAGGGAGAATCTTGTTAAAATTCACTGGAGGTAAAAAGGCAGGGATTAATAATTACCTGATCTAAGCTAATTTATCATGTTCTACGGTAAAATTTGCAGGGTCTTAAGGCAACAGTGATAATCAGACATACTAAAAGGAGCTCCTAAATAAGTGTTGCATATGGTATGATTTGCTTTGTGTAAATTTAGCTATTTTAAAGTTATCTGACTATCCCACGTTAATCCCTGGGGTTCTTCATTTAGTCAGTGTAAGAAGCCACATGTGGAAGGGAAAGGCTGTGGGCAGAATTGCACTCTTGAGGTGTGATTAGCATAAACATCTTAAAAGCCTTGTGGAGACGCAGGGACAGAGGATGATGAATCATGTTTGAATCCCAAAAATCAAACAAATTTTTATAGTTCACATCTGAGTTAATTCCACAAGTTAATGAGGTTTTTTTTTTTGTTTTTTTTTTTTAGCTGTTAAAGATTGTATTAATCTGCAATATTTTACTTTTTTCATCTTGTTGGCTGAGCATCTTAAGCCATCAGGTCAAACCCAAATCTCTCTTCAACACAAATTAGCCAAAAGTTAGAAAAAAACACCCTGCAGGCATCACTACCAGGGTCATCCCTTGTCATGGGTTTCAGCTGCTATTACCAGGACATCATTACACAATCAGATTGTGGAGTTCTAAGAACAGCTTGTTTGGCCTTCAGGAAGCTTTGTGAGCCAAAACAAGTAGAAACATAGTTTGCTGAATTTTCCTCCATTGCCTCTTTGTGTTGTTGGTTAACCAGCAAATGTAATTTAATCTCAAGGGTTTGATTTAAATCTTAAGTTTCTAAGTGCTGAATTTAGTAGGTCACTTTCAAAGGAAGAAGAATGGTGACCTCAGACGCAGCCAGAGATTCCCCTGCAGTCAGGACATTCAACCCTCTCAGACAGTAATTGGACCTAAAACTCAGATTTTTTTCTCCCTTCTAGATCAAGAGTGAGGACTTGGAGAGGCTGCTCATTGAAGGAAATCATGTTCAGAGGACAAGGACTCAGAGAAACTGATTACACATCACTGTTACCTGAGCTCATTCCATTCTGAGGTTATCCCATGCCTGACTGACAGCCCAGGGAATAACATCTGGAGCTATGAAAAGGGAACCCTTCCCCTCCTCTCCACACCAAGGAAAAGCATGTAGTTTTGTTGCTGTTGTTTTTGGTTTAAATGTGGACTTAGGAAGAAACCAACACTATAACAACAGACAGGTCTTGTATTTTCTTCCCAAATATTCTGTGTAGCCAGGGCTTGCTTTATTTGTGCTTGCCTAACAGGTTATTTTCAGATGTCAAGAAAAAGACAGAATTTTACTGGTTAATAGAAAGTCTTCATTTTCTGGGACTGGGCATGATTTATTTTATTTTTTTTTGTCTGGAAGCTTTTGCCTGATCTATCAGTTAATTTTTGTTTGCTTTATCAAAAGTGGGAGACATGACTTGGAAAATCAATGATGTGAACAAATAATTATGATCATAATACAAAATTGGATATTTTGTGATAATCTGAAATTATCACTACTTATAGAGAAGATCAAATTTTAGGAGATAATTATAATTTCTCATGAAGAATTTTTATCCCAGTCTATGGTACTCTGTAATAAGAATGTAATACTTTAATAAAAGTTCATAAAAATTCTATAGCACACCTATAATTTCCTATTAAATTATTCAGTTATTCAACTCATTTTTATACAGTTTACTTAGCTGCTGTAGAAATCTATTGGGTTTATCTTTAATTTTTACAGGAACTTCTAACAAAGGCTTGTTTGAGGTGAATCATTTAGTTATATAAAGAGACTTAATAGCTATCAATTCTTATATTTTTTTTAAAATTCAAACAACAAAAAGGCTCTGTGTTTTCACTGCTCTGCTTTTGGAACTTGGTAATTCATACTGTAATTTTATAATCCTTTTTTAATGGCTTGATTTTGTTTTATTGAGTTATTTATATACTGAAAATTCATCCTGAAGACAAATGGATCCTTGAGTACTTGATACAGACATAAATAAGACAGAAGAATAAGCTCCAGAAAAATGTGGGGTTTTTTTACTTTCCTTCTCTCCTCCTGGCTTTTCACAAAATTGAAGGAAAAAAAATCTTACAAATAATCCAGACAAGTTTGTGTGCACCTGGTTAGTGCAAAGTGTCCTTTCAGTCTTTTTGCAGAGATGATGCCACAAATGAACAGAAATCTTGCTGATATAATCAAAAAGCCTTCTATCCTTTCAAAATCTGAGTATCTTTACTTAAAAAAAAACAGAAACCCTGTTTCAAATAGTTCCTTTCACTACTTTTCTGCTGAGCTGAGAAACTTCTGCTGTCTTTTCTAACTTTTCTTAGCCTCTCAATTTGAAATCCAAATCTTCACTCACACAAGAATATTTTTATGACATTCTGTTCCACAGGTAAAGAAGGAACTTCAGAGCTTCTCCATAGTGTTGACAGGAAAAACAGTATTCAGTCCTGACCCATGAACCTCATGCTATGTGAAAAGCATAAAGCACTTACTGTGGTGCTCTTCTCTGTAGTAAAAATTGTTTTCTCTTTGGTCTTCTAAGTTGTCTACAGAATATTTGTAATTCCATTAGAATAGCACTACTTTCCATTGTTGTATAAGAATAGCAGTAAAAGAAGTAAGAATTGCTATGCAGCAATAAAGACATTTATTTTCCATATGCCCTTTTCTCAGAAATATGCTACATAATCCACTGAATAAACTGAAGGGTGAAGCTGAGCACTAGATTGACATAGGATGGGGTAATTTAATCTGTCTAAAATTCATGATTCTGGCCTCAAACATTAGTCTAGCCTCCTTTTATGGCTGGTAGAAACAGACACACCTTCAGAGAACAGTGGATCCAGTCCTAATGTAGGAATAAACCCAAAATTAGAACCATTGTAACACAGGTTATGCAGATTGCTTACCTCCATCAGAGCTCTCTTGACTACTCTGCTGATGTCCCTTCTCCACTCTGGGATGTCTGGATTGTAGTCATCCAGGTTTGAAGAGAACAATAACTGCAGGGACTGAAATTGCTCTGCAGATACAATGACACGGTGGTAAGTGAAGGCTGTGAAATGCATTAGTGCCAAACAAGCAGGCAGAACCTAGCAGAACCTGCTGCTTCATCAATCTGCAGGTGATGCACAAACTGTCAGAGAATCCAGCAGTGTCTGAGAGATTCACTGAGCAATTCACAGAAGTTGAGAGATTCACCGCTTGAGTGTCATGGAACTGAAAAGGGTGATCAGTCCCTACTTCAGTGGCTGATCAGCATTGGAATGGGCAGTGTGTTGGGAATGTAATTGACATGCTACCTTAATCTTGACTTCTGAAGCAGGCAAGTTCTGTGAAAGAAGCTGTGATTGTACTTTCATAGAAATGCCCCACATACTGAATCTTAACTGCAAGGAGACAAGGATAAAGGTGGGGAGAAGACTAGCCTTGGGAAATGTACTTGTTAATCTGCTGTTGTTAATGGAGATGCCCGCACTGATCACTGTGCCTGTGTGCTTAGTATAAAAGCTGGAAACTGAGATTTCCAGTGGTTCTTAAACTACATCTATACTATACAATACTTGTGTGATTTAACTACTTTTGAAGCCTGAGTACAACATCAAATCAGTACAGATTTCTGTACTGAACTGCAGCACATGGCAATGACTTATCTTTCAAGCTAAGCAGCTTTTCCATGAGTTAAGAGGCCTCTACTGGCCAAGAAGGGGGAAAACCAGCTCACAAAACAATGTAATATTTAAAAAATCATGTAGGATGACCAAACAGTGATAGGGCAGATGCAGAGGGCTCTGGGAAGGAGAGTCAATATTTTGCAATCATCTCAGTCTGGATTAATGTCAGTCTGTGACCTTCAGATATATTTGATGAATTGATAACACTGAATCCACGTGTATAATCTCACTCAAAGCATCCTGGAATAAAGACCTCACATTGCTCCCAGCTAACCTGGCTCTCTAGCTCCATGATTATAGAGAATCTTATGTGAAATGAAGGAGGAAGAGCTCACCATACACAGCAATAGTCTTCGTATCCTGAAGAACGGTGTTTCCTGCTGAGACCTGCACAGTGATGGTGTTCATCCCTTCCACGGAAAATGTGACAGTGATGCTCCCTTCCAATGTGATCAGTGGCTGTAAATATATCAGAAAAGGAGAAATCAATGTATTTGGCAATAAGTGAAAAGCAAAAATTAGTTTGGTTCTCTAACCTTTTCCAGCTTGAAAACTTAAGACTTAGAAGCCATCCTGTGACATGGAAGCATTTTCTGGAGAGGGCCCAGAGATCCAGATGGGGATGTCCTCCTGAAGCTTGAAGTAATGTATAATTTTTCAAAGAAGCTTAAGTTTTAAGATCCCAGTACTTCCTTCCCACTTAGCATGCTGGCTGTTCTGGGTCCCATGTTAAACTCTCCATCTTTGCTGCACTCCCCTGAGAGGCCCAGATCCTAGGGTCTGCAAAACTCACTGCTCAGACTTCTTTCCCATATCTAACTGTGATTTAAGGTCACTCAAGGAGGTTGCAACAGAACAAGGAGACAAATTAAGATTTCTCAGTTGTTCTCCCATGTTATCCTTAGACATGGAGAAGTCATTTTTGGAAAGCAATGGTGTTGAGAAAGGACACAATCACCTCAACTTGCTTCACTGTGCAAACTAGTTTATCAATGAGTTCTGCCCGTTTTAGCAGTCTCTGCCCTAACTTGTGGTTTTGCTTATTAATTAATTCTAGGTGAGATCTCCAAAGCACTCAGTACGAAGTCAAACTCTGTTCCCATTACAATGTCTGTAGTAAAACTCTCACTTCAATGAGAACAGAGTTAGACCAACTCTGATCACTTATGAGCTCAGGAGATCAGAAGGAAGGTTAAAAGGTGACAATCACAGCCTGTAAGTACCTCGGGGGAGAGATGATTTCTGATAGTACGGAGTTCTTTAATCTACACACAAAGGCATAACAAGATCTTACAGCTTGAAACAGAAGCTAGATAAATTCAGATTACAAACACAGTGCATGTGTTTAATGCTCAGGATAATTAACTGTGAGAAAAGAGTTGAGGCAGAGGTGAGAAAGAGAAGCAGTGAATTCTCCTTCATCTGAGGGAAGTTATTAATGTAAAACAACAACAACAAAAAGTCAGGTTCTGCCTTAATCACAAAGAGTTAAATAAAGCAGAAAGTACTGATGAAACCCTCTGACCTGCATTATGCAGAAGATAACCATGCGTGGTTCAAAGTCCCTCTTGGCTCTGAAAATTCGATCAGAATCTTTCTCCTCGGAGACTAATTAGGGTCTCTTGGAACTTCAGCCACAAAGATACGTAAAATAATAGTTATAACGCCTGTGCATATTTACCAACACTGCAAGCACAGAGGCAGAGTATGGTACATGCTGTTCTCATATCTGAGCAGAGCCCACAGGCAGGGAGGTGTGTTGGGAACCATTTTAGCCACTGATAGCACATGATAATAAGGTCTTCCTGTATATGTGGTTTAGCACAGAGTGTGGGGGGCTCAGGATTGCACTCAGCATATTTAAGAGGAAACACAAAATGGATGGCAGTCTCTTCCCTTGTTCACCACCAGAGGAACGAGGTGGTTTAAACCTAGAGGCTTAAACTCTGTCTTTCCTCTATGTCAAGCCAGTTTCAGATATAAACACAGCTTCGGTTTGAAAGATTATTTTTCTAAAAAATACCATAAAAAACCAGGCTTGTTGTTGCTGTTGAACAGAGCAGAGGGGGAAAAACAGTAGAAGCTCTTCAGGATTTTGATTCACTACAGTCACCATAGATATAAAATGCAGTGAGAAAGCTACTGGCACTTTGCATGTAATGGCAATAAACCTTACCTGTAAGTCACAGCAAGAAAGACAAAGCATTTTGTACATTTCAGTGTTGGTACATCAAAGAACTATTAGTCTCTCAGCCTCTGGTTTATAATTTTCTTGTGTGTGTGACTACTTAAAAGCATTCCCAAATCCCTTTCTCCCTCCCTCCTCAGTCAGAGACCTCCTCCAGTATTATTTTGATATCGTTCCACGGGGAATACAAACCTCTGTGTTGTTCCCAAACCACCAGATGTAAGTAAGTGTTCCTACTAGGCTTGGCCACAGTACTGCCGTGGCGTTGACTTCCTTGTTTTTTGTGGTGACGAATGGTAGAGATAAATGAACATGTTCCAAGGGGCCTGCAGAGACAGAAACAGCAAGTGAGTTTTCCCTACCCTGAAATGTGAACCTGGGGGAAAGGGAACTGAGGAGATATCCGTTGCTTTAGAATACGTAAGTCCTCTGAATCACTGTGGGGCATGACAGTTAAAGTTTCAGCTTGGTTCCATTTCTGGAGAGGCAAGCTTAAATCTGTTCCTAATGGAACAGCAGCTGCCCCTGTGCCTGGAGCTGAAAAACTTGCACTCTTTCTGGTTAACCCCCTTCTCGCCTTAGATGCAGTGCTTCACAGTGCATTCATGTTCTTTGGGTTGTGTGTACTCTTTGACTTTCTGGTCTATCTGCATTTCATAGGCCTACTCAGCAAATTAGTGGACCTAATAAATCTTTCCAAATACAAACCTCTTCCTATGTATTTCTCTAGGGAATTGTTTTGCGTATGAGCCATGCAAGCCAGTATGAAACTGGAGTACACAAGACAAGCTGAAACATACAATCTGTTTCATAGAATCATAGAATCTTAGGGGCTGGAAGGGACCTCGAGAGATCATCTAGTCCAACCCCCCTGCCAGAGCAGGGTCACCTAGAGTACATCACACAGGAACTCATCCAGGTGGGTTTTGAATGTCTCCAGTGAGGGAGACTCCACAACCTCCCTGGGCAGTCTGTTCCAGTGCTCTGTCACTCTCACAGTAAAAAATTTTTTTCGGATATTCACCTTGAACCTCCTATGCTCCAATTTACACCCATTACCCCTTGTCCTATCACTGGTCATCACTGAGAAAAGCCTAACTCCGTCCCCCTGACACTCACCCCTTACATATTTGTAAACATTGATGAGGTCACCCCTCAGTCTCCTTTTCTCCAAGCTAAAGAGACCCAGCTCCCTCAGCCTCCTCAGGGAGATGTTCCACTCCCTTAATCATCTTCGTAGCTCTGCGCTGGACTCTTTCAAGCAGTTCCCTGTCCTTCTTGAACTGAGGGGCCCAGAACTGGACACAATACTCCAGATGTGGCCTCACCAATGCAGAATAGAGGGGGAGGAGAACCTCTCTTGACCGACTAACCACACCCTTTCTAATGCACCCCAGGATGCCATTGGCCTTCTTGGCCACAAGGGCACATTGCTGGCTCATGGTCATCCTCCTGTCTACCAGGACCCCCAGGTCTCTTTCACCTACACTACTCTCCAGCAGTTCAGCCCCTAACCTGTACTGGGACATGGTGTTGTTCTTCCCCAAATGTAAAACTCTGCACTTCCCCTTGTTGAATTTCATCATGTTTCTCCCCGCCCAACTCTCCAGCCTATCTAAGTCTCTCTGAATGGCAGCACAGCCTTCTGGTGTGTCAGCCAATCCTCCCAGCTTAGTGTCATCAGCAAACTTGCTGAGGGTACATTCTATACCCTCATCCAGGTCGTTGATGAAGATGTTGAACAACACCGGTCCCAGAATAGGGGCAGAGCTCTGTTATGTGAATATGGCCCTCACCAGGAAGATATAAGAAGGTGAAGGACAAATTGCTTTAGTGGACATAAAGCATCTCTGTTGATGCAAATTGCTATTATTTGGTGAACTTTGGCAGTGGTGCATCTATTTATATCAGCTGAAATTCTGTCCAAAGGCAGCTATTCACTGAGTGACTTCATTTTAATGTTACCTTATACTCCCTTCTTTTCCTCAATAAACTCTCTTATTTCCTTAGTATAAACAGAAGATAATTCATTCGACAAGTGACATTATGCCCAGGGTTACACATTTTCATCTTCTGGAAACAGATGGATGTTTGTTGTTACATCTTGTCCTACGCATCATTGTTTAAAATGTGTTCTGACTGTTCACTTAGAAAGCAAAGCAATTGTCCTGAGAGTGACAGAGAAAGAAAAATAAAGAAATGCCAGGTGTCATGGGGACATGAGTTTCTTAGACAAATTAAGGCCACATCGACATGTACTACATCTGCAAGCTTCCCAGTAATGAGAAGCAGAGACCACAGCCCAGGAGGATAGATTGTATTGTCCATATGGATTTGAGATACATTGTTAGAGTGTCATATATTTCATGAAAGGATTTTTCAGGATATGCTCTTATTCCCATGATCTTATCACTACTTAGACCTTGCTTCTCAACACAGATAAACATTGCACATTTTGGAGCAAGGACCCTCATCCCTATACAGCACAGATAGGCTGAGACAGATGTAAATGGAAAACTCCCAAATCAGATGGTGGCATAAACAAGGACCAGTTTTCCCGATTTATTACTGAAATGCAGCTTTCTTTGGGTTGTAGACACTGCTTAACATGACACATTCCAATTAAGAATTATCCATGATCAGATTAACCAAAGGCTGCTACAGACCAGACCTTGACTAAGTTTTCCTTTTATAATCAGCAGTCAACACTCTTCTTGAAAACTCGTGAGAAGCTAAAATAACATGCCTTATGATTTTAATGGCTTTCTCCTTCTCAGACAGATTTCTGTGAATGGGCCATGCCTGCTTTCAGGAAAACCCTGACACCTGAAGACCAGCAGCTTCCAGGTTAATTTTGCAGCTCTGGTATCCTTTTGGAAGCTGGCCAAATACCCAATGTCAGCACCACCCTCTAAAGGAGGGCACCTAACATTGAATGTGGTGACAGCAGTGACAATGGAGCCCATATAAAGCCCAGTACACTCCAACATAACTGCACAGCTGCTCTGAATACATCCCAAATGATGCTGCACTGCAGACAGTGCCCTGCAACTCCTTGGATCTCCACCACATGGTAGCTAGGGAAAATGTGAAAGAAAGGTTCCAGCAAGTCAGTCCTGCCTTAGTCTTTCTGTGCAAATGGGTCTAAGTGGCTGAAATGCTGAACTATTATCTGGCCAGCAGATGGGGATAGCTCACACTGGATAGGCCCTTAGCTTGGAGGGAGACAGCTTTCTCCAAAGTAAGCTTGAAGAGAACTCAAGAGGAATAATTTCTGAGCTTCATGCAGGGCCATGGAGACTACAGACCTTCACCTACCCCGGGAAAAAATCTGTGTAAAAGTCCCAGACAACAGAAAGGGAGAAGCTTTTCAAAAAGTTCACTTGGGCAAAGGATGTTATTCTGAAGCATTCAGCTAAATGCATAACTAACTTTCTGAAGGAAAATTTTGACCTCTCAGAACAGTTTGTTGGCTGCAGAAACAGTTTATATACAATTTACTTTTCATCCACCTGAAAATGCTCCTGCCTCACAATAGTCTGCATTTCTAGATCCCTCGACCAACTGCAGCAAAGGCACTGCTACTGTGCACTGGCCCCATGGGTACAGCAGAAAGAGGACAAAGGATGGACACCTTACTCTGATTTTTGAGATTGTAAGCACCCTGGTTCAGTGTATGCAGTTTTCCCTGCAGCAAGGCTGCTGGCCACAGACAGCAAGGAGTGTTGAAAGGCCCAAATCTGACTGCACACACTCATATATCAACAAGGGGTCTCGCAGTTAGTAGCACTTCCTAAAACTCTCTGGAGTTCAGGGACACACTGCCTTTCTGTGGATCTGTTATTCTTAGTAATACAGTGTGTGTGCCTATGTTAAGGACAGGTATTTGTACAAAATTCCCCAAAGGCCAAACTCACACACCTCAAGCAGAATACTCAGCAGAGAGCTGAATGTCAATGCAAGCATTTAAAGGATTTAGAAGCTTTTGTGGATCTGTGTGTTAGGTTCTGGAAGGGACTGGATTTACTGTACATCCTCAGCAAATCTCTTGCTGGTCTGAGTGGCACCATGCTCAGTCTGCAACTTGTTTTGAAGTCCCTAATTCTTGTCATGACGAGAAATATGAGAGATATCCCTTAGAGGTGTCACTTCTCCAGAGGATCAGGCATGTACACTCTTGGCCTAGCTGCAATGAGCTGCTAAGTCATACAAGCATATCTGAATCTTCTTTATTTCTTGTACTACTTAAACAATCAAACTGGTTCTTAAGCTTTTAATGTCTCAAGAAAATGGATTAAGAAAGCTATAAACCAGAAAGCCACTATGAGTGAGAGTGAAAGCTGGGTACCTGCCTTCTCCTTCCATTTTGTGGTTGTTTCATGAGAAAGCAGTTGCTGCTTCACATGGCCTCATTACTTTGTAGATAGACCAAGGGTGTGCAATGGTCCCCATGGAATCATCTCTTGTCAAACAACAACTGATTACAAACCCTGCTTGCACGAGGCTGTCAGAACCTCCTGCGAAATACCAACCACCAAAACAACTCTCTATTTGTTGCCAGTGACCTTTACAAATAGTGAAAAACAACAAAAAAAACCAGACAGACCATGGCTCCTATTGAACTGACTTTCATAATCAGCAGCAGTGGGAGGGGAATTTTTGCATTCAGAGCCTGCAGCAGCTCCCATGATAATTACCAAGCACACTCTGGGAGGCAAACTAGAATGTGACTCCAAAACCAAAGAAATTACACATAAGTGTATAAATGTCTATTCTGAGCAGAGGTCCTTTTTTCTACCCTATTTAGGATGATACTTAACTAAAAAAAAAAAAAGTAAAAAATCAGTAGCTGTCCAAAAGATAAGAATTAACCTTGTTTCACCAGTGCCTCAGTGCTGAAGTGATATAGGCTAAGCCCTGAAATTAAAACCCCAAGCTTCACAATAAGCTAATTTATGAGTACAGTTATTTTTGCAGGGTATTATAACTCTTTCTAACACGGGGTGCTGCTGAAGGATTATTTGACAGGAAAGTTTGCCACAGACTGGAATCTAAAAAGTTAGGGAATCACAAATAGTACACTATGATTGTGAACCAGAGGTCTTTTTGAAGAAAGGCAGTCAGGGAGATACTTGCTCCTGCTTCTCTAGTGCTCCCTCTTAAACCCCCTATCTCCCACTGCTATACCTCCCACTTCTCTCATCTGGTATATGATGGTGCATCATCAGGGAGCTACCATCCTCTTCTCCTGAAGAGGCAGCTGCTTTCATGCTGTATGAAGTAACTCCAAAACTAGAGTTAAAGTATATGAAATGTGCTAAATTATCTAGATAATATATGGAGTTGATTTGGTAGAGAGTAAATAGTATTTCTGTAAGCATAATTTTAAGTCTTGGAATTTCATTTTTTCTTCCAGAAAATCTGGCACAGAAGCATGCAGTTGAAAATACAATCAACAACAAAAAAACCCAACACTATATAAAGAAAATCATGGCCCCAAACAAAATCCATTAGGGATGTTACAGAATTTCAATAATAGGTTGACCCTTTGGGTTCATAACCATGTGGAAGAATAAATATGAAAGAACACATGGCTGGTTTTATGCAAGGGCTCAAGATACAGTTCAGTTGTAAATCAGATACAGCTGAAGTACGAAAAGGTTAAAAAGAACAGCATAGGAGCAAAGTGAAGATAATATTTTTTCTTGTAATACTCTTTAGCACCAAGATTTTGGTTCCTATGACAACAGAAAGACTGAAATATATTGGGTTCCATTCCAGATGTGGTTGTATTTCATTAGAGGGCAAAACACAGGTACAATGTAAAAGTCAAGGCTTTTAAAAGTGATTACAGATACTGGATGTCTTTGTTTTTCTGAAAGTGTAAACCTGCTAATAAAGGTGCATTTCACAAAGGGCTGGACACTCCTTTGAGGTGTCCCAAATCAAACCACCCAAAATGAGAGGCCAAACGTGGTTTAAAAAGCAAATGTTGCTACTGCCTGTGGCTCCACATAGTCTGAAGTCGTCTGGTGGGGGACGAACACTCATCACATTCCATCACTCCATTCCCAGCTGCAAAGCCCCACGTCATCTCTAAGGCTAAGTAATAATTTTTTAAAGATAACAGAAGTGAACAATGAGTATGAACATACATGTAACATGCAGGTAGAGGACAGCGTGATCAGATCCCAGGCTGTTTTCCACCAGCACGGTCACTCGGAATATGCCCACATTCTGGTAGATGTGCTTGATCCCATCTTCTGCTGAGCTGAGATTGGCATATGACACCGTGATGCCATCTCCAAAATCCACCTGAATGAGGGATCTCTGGAGGTCTCCCTGTGATGACAGAAAAGAGAAACGGTTGGAATAGACTGCTTTTCTTCTGAGAGACTGGATTTGTGAGGTGACCTAGACCAACTAGAGGATAGTAACAAGGTCTGATGTTACCAGAGGCAAGATGATCACTTCACCAATTTGCTTCATAGTCAGTGGAAAGAAAGTGACTCCCTCTTGAGGCTGACCCAGCTGCATTGAGAAGCAAGTGTTCTCCAAGGTGTGTGCTGTAGCCCTGTTTTCTAATCACCAGAGGACTAGGGGATCCTCTAGAAAATATACTGGCTCCTTCCCCTGAGTTTCCTTTTAGCAAAGAGCAGAGTTTTAGTGGGGAATGGTGCTCATCTTAGCAAGCGTTCAGGACATGAGCAGCACTACCAAAATGGCCTCAGGAGACTTTGGAACAACCTGCATTGTGAGCTTTGGTATTTAAAACCATAAAAAGTGGAAAGATAAAACTGAGAAGTCCTCAGGGAAGTGTCAACGACATCAAAGTGGTGGGATGTCAAAAGAACAGCCTCAGCCACACATGATAACGAAAGCTTACAGCAGCTTATGACTTGCTCAGTTGCTCAATTTAAAAAGAGCTGGATTTGTATTTCTTTCAGAACAGCTACCTGCACTGCTGACACTAAGTGGGAGCCTTTGTGCCTGCCTCAGAAGGGAAGGGCTAATGAATTGACAGAGCTGAATAAACTCTTCTGCTCTTACCTAGAGATAAACCCAGCAGAGAGGGCTTGTAGTATAACTCAAACTGCCATTTTATGACATTAGTCTCCTGAGCTGCTAAACTAGCATGTTTCAAAATTGTTACAATAAATTACAAGAAATAAATAAAAATCACAGTTGGGAAACAAACAAACAAACAAACCCCACCACAAACCAAAAGTCAAGGATATTTGGGATCTGCTAACGTGAAACAATTCTAAAACAGGTTTGAATTTTCCGTTCCTGAAGCTGAATTCCAGCCTGGCGCATGCAATTTCATCAAACTCAAGCCCTAAAAGGCTTTTAAAACTCAGAGGAGTGATGTAACTTCCTTATTCTGATTTACAGACAAAAAAATTTTTTAATTTTTTTTTCTTTGCTAGCCTGTATAGCAGAGAGGTAAGTCACGTTTGTATACAAAAAATCCAGGTAACCTCTGTCTCACACACTAGAAATACTTGTCAGATGTTAGGCAGTGACATGCCTAAGGTAAGGGCAGTTTCTGTTAGCCTAATAGTTATATAGCCTACACTGACCTGTGGCTGCTATGGGTAGTCTCCCTTCCAGGTAAGATGCAATACCTTGTCTCAACTTTAAGCATTCTTGCTCCTTTGGAAAGCCTCCCTCAGTGGCTCTGCATGATGCTTATGCTGGCTATGTTCATGCTTGCATGTTGCTGTGCAGTATCTCACTTCACAGGCTGGAGCCATGAAGCAGCTGCCACTGTCTGGAAGAATGCTGGTAAATTAATAGCTGAAGACAGTTCAAGAAATTGGCTGAAAGGACATTTCATTTACTTTGGTTTTGTTACCTTTTCCTTGTTGTTGTTTTTTCTTCTTTTCCCCTGAAAGACAAACAGTCCCCTGGATGCCCAACTGGAATGAAAGGTACCCGTGTAAATGGTTGGCATCAGGCAGGTTTCAACATCAGACAGGGAAATATGTGTGTGTGTATGGGAGTAAATTGTAACATAAGCTTGCTTCATGCTCGCTCAGTCTTTTTATAACTTGTTGTGAAGGCAGAAATAGTGTCAGCTTGCCTGAATGGAAGGTGGGAGGAGCAGAGCTATACCTGGAGGTGGCAAGAGAGACAGATTTTCCCTGATGCTCACTTTTTATAGGCTGAAGTTGTAGTCATTTCACTGTCAGGGAACCCTGTTGGAAGCTCAGTTTCCTCCAAAGGGATATGAGAAAAAATAACCATGTTGCTCTGTTCTGGAGGATCCCAGACTGAAGGAGTGGGGGGAAGGACATCCTTGACAGAGGCACAAGCCTGGGGATTCTTCCAGATATCGCATGCCATTTTCCTACTGATGTCCTGAAGGCACAGATGGCAACTCCTTGTTCTCGAGAGCATTAGCAAGGGCAAAAGAACCCTCGGGTGCTGAGGCTTTAGTGAGAAGACCAACGTGAATATCCTTTCAGAAAGAAACACGAGGATCTTGCATTTTAACAGCTCCAGTTGCCCTTGAGTAGTTGTTAACTAAGTTTCTCTTACTAATTAACCTGGCAACATCTGGAATTGACGCTGACATATTGCTTGAGCAATTCAAACTATTAAGCTACACTGAAAAAAGGTCTTAGCAAATTCCTCATTGGATGCTTTCCTAGAAGCTTAAGCAGCTGCTTATATTCTTTGGACACAAATCACTGAGGCAAGGTCTCCTACCTGTGTTATACAGAGGGTCAAACAAGGGGGCTTGTGCCTCATGAAGAGCCATTAGGAACCATAAGAGATGTTCTTAAAAGTAGTTATGTCCTTCATTAAGTTCAGTTATTTGAAAGAAGATGTGCAGTTTCAAACATGATGCAGTGGCTTGGGCATTCTTGACTGACCAAGCCAATGGAAGGCACTAAATGGGATATTCTTCCATAGACAGAGGTGAACATACATGAGCTCCTCAGCTCTGAACCCCTTTAAATAGGGAGAATATATTTCTCTCATGCATGGTGTTGGACTTGGACCAAAAACAGCGACCTCTGAAGTACCCTTGGATGCTCTTCCCATTCCGCTAGGCCCATCATCACTAGAGTTTTCATCATCTTTCATTCCTAAAAAAAACGTGATGTCTTTGAACATTTTTCAGTAAAGCCACACTGCTGGGACAAAAGCTGCTGGTGTGGTTAAAACTGCACCAGTTTAGTGACCCTGCTGACTTTATAATCTCTGAGTATATGTGAGACCATCCAGTTGAAGTATATTTCAGGTCAAGGTATATCCCACTGTATATTTGAGGTAGCAGAGGAAGATGAAAACAGTGACAGCATTTTGGAGCAGCCCTTTTCTGCAAGTGTCAAAATTTATGCTCTAGTGAGTGTTTTTTCTCTTCATTTTCTCCGTAGCCTTGAAACCCATGGTGATTTCAATTTTTCTCCCAAATTCCCTAGGGGGAAAAGATGCTGACAGAGACATCTGAAAATCTAATTGTAGAAGAGCTTCAGATGCTGTTTCTCCAGTCTTTTTCATTTGTCTTGGCCTTTCCTGTTTTGTTTTAAAACCCTTTGAACTGGAAATACATTTTACATTCAGGAAGATCCAGGCTATAGCACCTCTCTGAAAATGCCACATTTTGAAAAGCTGACATTTAAAATTCTAGCTTAGGAATGGGGAGAAAAAAGTCAGAAAAGCAAAGATAATGTGGTTTGACTTGTTCTCATGTTTTATCTATGCCAGGTAAGAGCATGGGCAGAATAAGAAAGGAAGAGAAGGCAGGTGAGCCAAAATCAAAACACTACCCATACAGCCCACCCCTGATCTACACCAGCCCCAGCTGCCTGTGTTTCTGGAAGATCTCCAGAGCCATTTGCAAGTTACTGGTTCACCAAGAGAAGTTTTGTGAATTTTTTGGAAAGTTTTTGATGAATATACATACATCTCACAAAAATATCTCCTGTTGCTTTTCCCAGCTTCCCCTTGTCATTTTGACAAGCCCAGTACTACATGATATGTAGTTTCTGAAGCTTTTAGCTCAGTTAAGGCAGACAGAAAACTCCCTGCATTACTTCTGCAGCCACAGCAAAGCACTTGGATGCAATCAGCATGGAGCTGTCTAGGCGCACCTCTCTGGCCTTCATCATAAGGGGCCTTTAATGCCAGTGCTCTTAGGCATCAAAGGAGACATTCGCCAAGTTGGCTGCATGTGGTGGTATCTCTGCATTCAGCTCCAGTGTTTTAATCACACTGAGCTAGTCAGCAACCAGTTCCACCAGCTGAAAAAATGAAAGTACTTTTAGTGGATTTTTTTACCTTGTTCTCAGTTGTGCAATATACACAAGCCTGGATACAACCTGAATTACACTGCAGTCTTGATAAAGGCTTATATCCAGCCAAAGACTTTAGTGTATGCTGAACTTTTAGCCTGAAAAGAAGCCCTGGGAATTAAAAACTGATTTCACAAAGCCTCATATCATGCCCTTTACCTCTAAAACATATGTTACAAAAATGTAAACCAAATCTTTACTGTTTTCTACATGATTTTCTCATTAAATATCCATGGTGTTTCTAAGTAAAAAGAAAAGATTCCCCTCCATCTTTCCCCTCCCCTCTACTCCAAGCAAAATGCATATTTTTTTCATGTCTTGCCAAAAGAATAAAAGTTTAGAGTTTACCAAAGACTTGGATGCTTCCAAAAAACTCTGTGAAGCTTCTTGCCTCAGAGTATATTAAAAAACAGCTTACACGGTTTGCAACAATATTTTTACATTTTGATTACTTTTATGCAGCTTTCAGTATTTTGGTGTATGAGATGTGAGAGGCCACCTAGCAAGATTCTGTCTCAAACACTCCATCTGAATCTTGTCCAGAAGGCTGCAGTAATGATTTTTTCCTATCAGCTTCCTGTATTTGTATCTAAATGGAAGTATTAAAACCATGAAACACCATTCGAAACTTTTCATTTTGATTCCCTGATTTCAGATTTCATTTTAAGTCTTCAATTATGCATGGCCTTGTGTCTCTTCCTTACAGATGTTGATAAGGGATATAATTATCCTTTGCAAGGGACACACACTGCTGCTGTTGGATTGTCTTCATGGATTAATGTTTTGTTCTTTCTTTGAATTAACTCTTTTCCTTCCTTGGTATTTTCCTGTCACCATCAGAAAACATCCATCAAAGATATTTTAGTTGCAAGAGAGTATCTAACATGGGATACACCTTTTGTCTATGTCTGTTCAAAGCATACACTTATGTTTAAACTGATATTCAAATCCAACTTGATCAAGTACTGAAAAATATGCTTTTTTCTACTTTCAGAGGAAATTTTCAGAGGATTTTTTTTACATAAGAAATGTGTC